ACCCCTGGACACCAATGATCAGCGATACCAATGACCACCACAGACACCAATGACCACCCTGGACACCAATGACCATCCCTGGACACCAATGATCAGCAATACCAATGACCACCACAGACACCAATGACCACCACTGGACACCAATGATCAGCGATACCAATGACCACCACTGGACATCAATGATCAGCGATACCAATGCCCACCACATACACTGATGACCACCACTGGACATCAATGATCAGTGATACCAATGACCACCCCTGGACATCAATGACCACCCACTGATACCAGTGACCACCCCTGGACATCAATGACCACCCCTGGACACCAATGATCAGGATACCAATGACCACCACGGACACCAATGACCACCACTTGATACCTATGTCTTCTACCACAACATCGTCAAGCATTAGTGCCCTCCTCTCCCCAAACAGAAAACCAGTACCTCCCGCCAACACACCAGCCCCCTCTCTTTCCAAGGAGCACCGGTGCCTTCTTCTCCCCTCTCCATCTAGAGCATGCAAGTAGTTTGGCACATACAGTGAAACATTTCCTGTACTCTGAGCAAGAGAAAGGACATTCATCTTTGTGGCTTCTCTGAAGTGTAATAAGGCTTCCATTCTGAGTGAAACATTTCCCGCACTCTGAAGAGAAAGGCCATTCGCCTTGGTGACTTCTCTAATGTGCAAGAAGGCTTGCTTTCTGAGTGAAACATTCCCCACACTCTGGACAATGGAAAGGCCATTCATATTTGTGACCTCTCTAATGTTTAATAAAGCTTCCATTCTGAGTAAAACATTTTCCACACCCTGAGGTTGACTAAAGACTCTCACTAATTTTGAGGGGTGATAGATGTATGCAACCCTGTAGTCAACGAATAACTCAACCCTACGGCTCCATTCACACTTATGCGACTTGTCATGCGATTTTGGGATCCAAAGTCGCATGACAAGTCCCCCCCCATGTTTCCGAATGGGTATCATTCATATCTGTGCGACTTCGAGCCACAGCAACTACTTTGGTCTGACTTCCATGCGACTTGAGGGCCATGGTCTTCAATGTAAACCCTCCAAAGTCGCACCTGAATGTTGTACATGTGGCTTCTGCGCAACTTTGTACAGCGGAAACAATTACGCTTGGTCAAAGCCAAAGTCCTGCTCATCCAAAGTCGCATCGAAATCACGCCAAAGTTGCTTCGAAATCACACCAAAGTCTCTCAAGTGTGAATGGAGCCCACCATTGAAGGATGACTTTTGCCGACACATACCCCCTTCAATGCAGTTTCTGATCAGACTAGAACAGTTGTTATATTTCAGTCCTGACCGTGTGCTAGCACGGCCCACATGTCACAAGACCAGCCACTACGTATGTGTACTCTGATGTCTAATTAGATTTCCTTTCAGCGAAAACGATTTCCCGCACTCGGAACAAGAGAAAGGCCGCTCTCCCGTGTGGCTTCTCTGGTGCTCAGTAAGTAGTTCTTTGCGAGTGAAACTTTTCCCGCACTCTGAACATGCATAAGGACGCTCGCCTGTGTGCGTTCTCTGGTGTCTACGAAGTTTTGCATTCTCGGTAAAACTTTTACCGCACTCTGAACACGTAAAAAGACTTTCACTCATGTGGCTTCTCAGGTGTCTTTGAAGGCTTTCCTTCCAGGTGAAACATTTTCCGCACTCCGAACAAGAGAAAGGATACTCGCCTTTGTGACTTCCCTGGTGCGCAATAAGGCTTCCTTTTTGATTGAAGCATTTCCCGCACTCCGAGCACGAAAAAGGACGCTCACCCGTGTGAAGTCTCAGGTGCGACAGAAGTATGGCTTTCTTGGTGAAACATTTCCCGCACTCTGAACATGGATAAGGACGCTCACCTGTGTGACTTCTCTGATGTGTTAGAAGTCTACTTCTCTCTGTGAAACATTTTCCACACTCTGAACATGAATGAGGGCGTTTAGCTGTGTGAATTCTCTGGTGTGCTAGAAATTTTTTTCCTTACAGTGAAACATTTCCCGCAATCTGAACACGAATAATTATTATCACTCTCGTGATTTTTTTGGTGTCGAAAAAGATCTCTTTTTTTAGCGAATGTTTTTTTCCGCACTCTGAACATGGAAAGGTCACGCTGGTATGTGATCTGAGATGTATATGAAGTTCAGATTTCTTCCCAAAAGATTCCCCGCACCCCAGACATGAGAATGGTTTTACGGCTGTGTGAATCCCCTCACAGCTCAATGAAGATTCTCTGAGATTAGATGGATCTGATGATGTGTCTGCACTGTGAAAACGGAGACTGGTGTCCGTGTTCATAGTATGTAAGGAGGGATCCACTGAAGTCTCCAAACAGTAGGAGCCGTGATTTATATCTTCAGTAAAGGAATTACCTTCTGACTTACAATCTGCAGGTAATAGAAAATGTCCTTCTGAGATATTCGCCACATAGCGTCCACCTGTGGGAAAGAAATTTTAAAAGCGTTAATAATAAGTCAAGTTCCAAGAGCTCTGGTGTGGAATTAGGTACAACACCAAGATATGGCACAAACCAGATATGAATGGAGATGGACCTTTCATATGGTGTCCAGTATCTCATTTGTTGGGCACATGACGTTATATTGAGGAATGGAGATGGACCTTTCATATGGTGTCCAGTATCTCCTCCTCATTTGTTGGGAACATGACATTATATTGAGGAATGGAGATGGACCTTTCATATGGTGTCCAGTATGTCCTCCTCATTTGTTGGGAACATGACATTATATTGAGGAATGGAGATGGACCTTTCATATGGTGTCCAGTATCTCCTCCTCATTTGTTGGGAACATGACGTTATATTGAGGAATGGAGATGGACCTTCCATATGGTGTCCAGTATCTCCTCCTCATGTTGGGAACATGACGTTATATTGAGGAATGGAGATGGACCTTTCATATGGTGTCCAGTATCTCCTCCTCATTTGTTGGGAACATGACGTTATATTGAGGAATGGAGATGGACCTTTCATATGGTGTACAGTATCTCCTCCTCATTTGTTGGGAACAGGACGTTATGAGGAATGGAGATGGACCTTTTTATATGGTGTACAAATTTCTCTCATTTGGTTGGAAAACTGATAATGTTATAGATAGAAAAGCTTATGTTTCATGTAAAGAGTAGAAAACTGTATATTATACAATATTTCCACCTCTTTTTTTTTTTTAAACTTTGGGTGGTGAGAAAGGTTTATTGATGACACGTTTCCAGCTAGCATTCAATTCCTTTGAGGGAAATTAGGCTAAGCTTTACATGGATTTTCTGCCTCTGGATCAACTATGGGATGAGGGTTTTTTTTTTTTTTACATTTTTACAGTGAACTCAAAGATATGTTTTCTCAGCGCATGATTGAAATACACATACCTTGCTCATAGATGTAACATAAAAATGTGAACCATCTCCACATTTAATATTACTTACTTGTGTCTATTTGTAGAGAAGATTCTTCCTCTTTAGGTTTCATAATCATCTCCCCCTCCTCCATAGACTGCTGATCTCCACTCACCAACCTCTCTTCTTCTTCCTCTTTAACCTCAACTTTGATGTATTTTAGTTCTTCATCCTAAACCCCAAAGATGACAAAATGCACTTATAAAAAGGATTGGGAGATGACATAGAAGAAGAATGTTACATCATAGCTTAGAATATTCTTTCAGGTCCGCAAGTCCAGTCACATCTACCTGATCATGGTGAAGACTACTTAGGAGAAGATAATTTAACCACTTGCCTACCAGGCACTTATACCCCCTTATTTACCAGGCCAATTTTCAGCTTTCAGCGCTGCCGCACTTTGATTGACAATTGCGCGGTCATGCAACATTGTACCCATATGAAATTTTGATCATTTTTTTCTCACAAATAGAGCTTTCTTTTGGTGGTATTTAATCGCCACTGGGCGCTTTACTTTTTGCGCTATAAATAAAAAAAGTGCAAAAAATTTGAAAAAAAAAAAAGTTTCTTTTATAAAATTTTTCAAACAGGTATTTTTTCTCCTTCACTGATGTGCGTTGATGAGGCAGCACTGATGGGCACTGATAGGCGGCACTGATGGGCACTGATAGGCAGCACTAAAGGGCACTGATAGGCAGCACTAATGAGGTGGCATGGATAGGCGGCACTAATATGCAGCACTGATAGGCGGCACTGATTATGGGTACTGATAGACGGCACTGACTGGCATCACTGATGGGCACTGACTGGCGGCACTGACTGGCACAACCCCTGGGCACTGACTGGCAGCACTGCTGGGCTGCACTGGTGGGATGCACTGGTGGGTGGGCACAGGTGGGTGGCACTGCTGGGCACAGGAGGGTGGCACTGCAGAGTGGCACAGGTGGGTGGCACTGCTGGGCACGAGTGGGCGGAGCTAGTGGGCGCACTGCTGGGCACAGGTGGGCGGAACTTGCAGGTGTCACTGCTGGGCACCGATCATCAGGGCAATGATCATCAGTGCCCTGATGATCGGTGCCGATCCCCGCTCTGACAACTGCCGGTTCTCGGCAGTACTTTCCTCACGATCTGACAGCGTGAGGAAAGTGCAGCCGAGAACCGGCACTTGCATTTTCCTCTGATCAGCGTGTCACTGGACACCGCTGATCACGTGGTAAAAGGCCGCTGTGATTGGCCTTTTACCACATCACGTGATCAGCTGTGTCCGTAGGACACAGCGATCACGGAGATCGCCGGGTGCGCGCGCCCCTGGGGCGCGCAGGATAGCGCGTTCTGGGAGGACGTCATATGACGTCCACCCAGAACTGGCCGGCCGCAGTGCAGCCGTCATTCGGCTATCTGCGGTCGGCTACTAGTTAATAATTAAAAAAAAACCCAAAAAACTCACCAACATCTCTTCTTCTTCTTCATCCTTAACTTTGATATCTCCAAGTTTTACACCCTAAACCCCAAAGATGATGGAATAGATTTGTAGAAAGGAACACGAGATGATAACACATTTTAGATCTTTATGTTGAGTACCACCTACCTGATGATGGTGAGGGATGATGTGACCTTCCTGTGTGGAATTCCGGGAATACAGAGGACGGGGACATCTCTCTGGTGAGTTCCCATTACTGGATCCATCTGTAGGAAACACACACACTGACTGAATCCATTGTTTCTATGTGTTTATCAGATGATGGGGGATCTAGGTGGACCCTCCGTACTGCTGTCTCCTTTACAATAAAGTCTCCTCTTACCCGGTGATGTGAGGGGCGGCTGATTGTCCATCATGATGTCCCTGTTTCCTTCTAAATATTTCCTCCTCTGCACCGGGTAAAATCCTGACACCTTATAGGAACCTGACACACACAATGATACAGTCACCATCCAGACACATCCCTTGTCTGTTACTGGAGAATGTCCCAGAATTCCCAGCACCACTCACCTCTCCTGTCAGCTGATCAGTGATCTTCTGGATGACTTCTAGAATCTTCTTGGCACTGATTCCCTCTGTTGTCAGGCAGTGAGGTGGAGGCACTGTGATGGGTGATGTCCTGTGAAGACGGCTGCTGGGTGGTAATGGCTCACCTATTATCTTTATGATCCTGTGTAAAGAGAGAAACCTACAATTATCACTATAAACCGCACAGAATCCTCCTCACCTATAGTATATGTTTTAATAGGTTTTTAGATTTAAATTTTCATGGAGATTGGAACAGTTACATAGAGTTTTTGCTATAAGGAAGATTCATCGACACCATTTGTCCAGGTGACGATTGTTTTCAGGACTTAAAGTGAGGGAAAATACTAAATTTTGAGTTGTCATTGGAACAGGAATAGAATGGAAATCTTCCTACAGGGAAGCGGAGAGGGACCCAGTGTGACTCAGGGTGAAAGTGACAGAGGGATACATTGTGATTGAGGGTGAGCTGGATGGGACGGATACAATATGACTGGGGGTGAAGTGGTTCAAAGGGACTCAGTATGACTTAAGTAAGGTGATGGGGTGAAGTAGCTGGGAGGGATACAATGTGACTGGGGGTGAGGTGACTGGGAGGGATAAATAGTGACTGGGGGTGATATGGTGGATAGGGACCCATGTGACTTGCAATGAGGTGAATAGGGGCATGGTGGCTGGGAGGCATACAATGTAACTGGGGGTGAAGTAGATGAGGGGGACCCAATGTGATTCGGGGTGAGGTGTCTGAGAAGGGGGGTGGGGGTGAGGTAGCTGGGAGGAATACAATGTGATGGGATAATTTGGATGGGAGGAATACAATGTGACGGGATCACTTGGATGGGAGGAATACAATGTGACGAGATAAGTTGGATGGGAGGAATACAATGTGACGAGATAAGTTGGATGGGAGGAATACAATGTGACGGGAAAACTTGGATGGGAGGAATACAATGTGACGAGATAAGTTGGATGGGAGGGATACAATGTGACGGGATAACTTGGATGGGAGGGATACAATGTGACGGGATAACTTGGATGGGAGGGATACAGTGTGACGAGATAAGTTGGATGGGAGGGATACAGTGTGACGAGATAACTTGGATGGGAGGAATACAATGTGACGGGATAACTTGGATGGGAGGAATACAATGTGACGGGATAAGTTGGATGGGAGGAATACAATGTGACGGGAAAAGTTGGATGGGAGGAATACAATGTGACGGGAAAAGTGGATGGGAGGGATACAATGTGACGGAAAAAGTTGGATGGGAGACATACAATGTGACTAGTGGTTGAGAGGGAACCAATGTGAGGTGGCTATGGGGTGAGGTGACTAGGAGGAATGCAATGTGATGGGTTATGTTGGATGCTAGGGATACAATGTGACAAAAGATGAAGTGGTTAAGAGGGACCCAATGCGAGTTGGGATGAGGTGGCTGTGAAGGAGCTGATCCTGGCCCGCTCACTGCTCTCGGTGCTAATCTCATGTATCGGATCAACAAGATTCACCATCCACACCCACCATAACCCACCAGTACCTGGTATTTCACATCTCCCGGTATGTGAAGTCTGAGATAGAAGACCTCCCTACATCTGCTGAGTAGAGATGAATGTTTTATAAAGGTGGCCAAGTTAGATCGCGAAGGATGTTTTCTCTGCTGGAGGTGGTGGCAGCAATGGAACGGAGGGGCGATGATACATCTATCTGTGTTTTTATTTCTGTCTTAGGATTCCTATTACTGACTCTAAAGTATAGGACAACTATACCCATCATCATCTGCTGGAGATAAAAGACGTCACAGTGACTATGGAGGAAGAGGTCGGACCCGACGATGGAGGAAGAGGTCGGACCTGACGACGGAGGAAGAGGACAGACATGACAGGGGGTTACTGGGTGTAAATAGAAAATAGATGTATATAACGAGGGAGGAATAGGTCGGGTATGACGATGGAGGAAGAGGACAGACATGACGATGGAGGAAGAGGACAGACATGACAGGGGGTTACTGGGTGTAAATAGAAAATAGACGGATATAACGATGGCGGAATAGGTCGGATATGATGATGGAGGAAGAGGTCGGACATGACGATGGAGGAAGAGGACGGACATGACGATGGAGGAAGAGGACGGACATGACGATGGAGGAGGACGGGCATGATGGGGGTTACTGGGTGTAAATAGCAAATAAGATCTTATTACCTCCTTTGCTGCCACTTCCAGCAATGTCTCTGCTCTACTTCCTCCCAACTGCCCCAGAACTGCCTGTCTTTACCATTTATATAGTCTTGTTTGTACATTACATCACTTCCTGTCTTTGCCTACAAATCACAATAAATGAGATCACCGCCTGGTGGCAATTTAAATAACTGCAGTCTACATTATGTTAGAATATTTTATCTGCTGCCTCATGGCTTGTTCTTCTGTTCTGCCGCACATATTACAACCAGTTCCATGATAATAATATTATGAAAAAACATTAATGTGATGTTTTTCAAGACCCCCATCCCTAGCTCCCTGTGTATGAGATGACTCTGTTATCCTATATCCCATTGCACTTGTTTGATGGGTCTTGTGACCTGTGCCAACAGCCTCCATATTTGCATGGACTAAATGCCACCACATCACTCGTGTGATGGAAGGGATTATGTAGCATGGGTGAAATATATCTTAAGCACACCAACAAGCTTGTTTCAAATTGCAGATCCCTTTATTCATCTACGATCACAAAGAAAGTCAATGTTTTGGGGACCATGCAAGGTCCCTTCCTCAGGCATGGGGAAGGTTTATCAGAGGGTTATTCTCGATTCCTGTAGCTCCTCTTCCTGAGAAAATTGAACTTGTACAAATTGTACCAACCACACTACCAGGGCCGGACTGACAACTTATGGGGCCCCCAGGCAATAGGGGATTATGGGGCCCCTGTGCCCTTGCCCAATCTCAAAAAAGCCTATGAAAAAGGTACCAGGGGCATCTCATGGGGCCCCCTACTGACCCCGGGCCCTCGGGCAGTGCCCGAGTTTCCAAATGGTCAGTCCACCCCTTGCCCACTACCATCATTGGCTAAATCCCAGATCACCACTTTGCTGGCAAGTATGGGAAACACAAAGGAACAGGGAAGGCGCCTCTAAGTGTAGACTGTAGGACAATTTTATACACTCATCGCCTACAGCGGCTTTCACCTGGACATCATGGAGGTTCTCTGCTGAGGACTTGGCGATCTTACTGCAATATTTTATTGATGAGCCTTCCTACCTCTTCTACAATGTGAGGTGCTAATTTTACGAGTGAATAAAATTGTCCTCCAGTCTACACTTAGAGGCGCTTCTTTTGTTCCTTTTTGTTTCCCTTATTACCAGAGCTAGCTTTTGCTCCTAGGACGAGCCTACCCTAGTGGATGGACTTCAGGGACTTTTTTTGCCCTTAAAACACAGCCTACAAGACTCTACAAGACTTTTATTACTAGTGGGTGTGCTATGTTTGCGCCTATCTCCTTGTGTTGTTCTATGTATGCATATGTACTAATAATGGCAAATTAGTGACTAAGCAGGGAATCCTGTTCAGTCTAAGGCCTTAGGATAGGGGTCCCTGGAGGAAAAATTGACTCTTTATGCAGATGATGACCTCTTGTTTTTACATGACCCGGCATCCTTCTCCGCCAGGCGAAGTCCAACGTACACCTCCCATCTCGATGGGGAGGCTTGGCCCTTCCTAACTTTCAAGTTCACTATTGGGCATCCATCCTGGTTGCCATTCGGTGGTGGTCTGTTCATTCCCAATCTAATGCAGGGGTGTGCCTGGAGGTTGTCTTCTTGAATTCCCTCACTAAACTCCACAAATTGATTTATAGGGGGGGGGGGGGCTAGGACCTATAGAGATGTTCTGGGCCCCACTAGGACTACATAACAGGTGTGGGTCTAAGCTAGAAGTAGATTTCTAAACCTAAGCATTGTCCTCCTGCATAGCCCCTGTAATGGAACCCCTCCTTGGTGCATTTTTGTAGCATTCCAGACCCCAATTGTGGGCAGGGTTTGGTATTAAAACCCTGCAAGACATGATGCCAGCTGGCACTTTGCTCTCTTTGCCACAGTTCTTCCTGACATATCAGTTGCCTAGTTGGATGATGTTTAGGTACCTTCAATTTAGACAAGCTGTTCAATCCCAGTTTCCACAGATATCAATCCTCCAAGATGACCCAATTGATAAACTTTTGTCCCAAGGTAACGTACAGAAATCCCTCTCCTCCTTATGGACCACCCTTCTTCGTATTCATTCTCCGAAGGCTGACCACCTGTGGACCACACTCTCTGGAAGGATGATACTTCACTTGATAGGAAGGATTGGGAAGACAGTCTTGAGGACTATCCTAAATTGGTTATCTCCTCCAGGGAGAAGTTGATTCAAACAAAATTCACACATAGGGTGGTCTACACTCTTCCATGATTACATAGAATCTATCCTGACTACTCCTCACCTATCTCTGTTGCTTGATCCACCCGGGTTCCTTCTTCTACATGTTCTGGGCTTGCCCTAAGGTATTTTCATTTTCGACAGACATCTTTGGATTTATGAACACCCAGTTGCAATTGAACATGACATGTGCTTTTCATATTGGTTTTCCAGCCTGGATTGTCTATTGCACTCATGTAATGATCATGCCAATTTATGTTTTCTTGGACCATTGCACTGATTTTATTCTTTTAATAAAGCAATCCTGTTTGGTAAAAAAAAAAAGCCACTGCCTTTCCTCCCACAACCCTCTAGTTCAGGAGGCTCCAAACTTTCTAAACAAAGGACAGGTTTACTGTCCTTCAGACCTCAGGGGGGCCGGACTGTGGCCAGTGGGAGTACAAAAAGTCCCAACACCAGTGGGAAAAACCAGCCTCCCATCTTTGGTGTCAGTGGGAGGTATTGTGTTCCATCATTGGTGTCAGTGGGAGGAATAGTGGCCCATCATTGGTGTCAGCGGGAGGAATCATTCCCCATCATTGGTGTCATTGTGCCCCATTGTTGGTGTCAATGGAAGAATTTGTGACCCATTGTTGGCATCATTGGAAGAAATTGTGACCCATTGTTGGAGTCGTTGGGAGGAATTGTGCCCAATTGTTGCTATCAGTGGAAGAAAGGGGCCAGATAAAAGCAAGCAAAGGGCCACATCTGGCCCCCGGGCCACAGTTTAGAGATCCCTGCCCTAGTTGATTGTTGGACTCAAACTCAGAACCCTATCTAAATAGCCTTATAACTTACCTAAAGGTAAGGAAGGAGGACCGACAATGCATGAGTCATAGGAGCCTACGGGTGACGTCACTACGCCCAGGCCTCACACTGGCGTAACACAGGGAGAATCACATGACTGGACTAGAGTGGCCTGAAAATAGGCAAGTATACTGATCTTTCTTACAGGGTTAGTCAGAATAGATGTTAGGAGGGGGCATTGTTAAGTGTGGTTAGGTGTTGCCTGAAATTCTACTTTAAAGCCAATCAAGTGGAAAGGGGAGGCATGTTTGGATGTGCCTACATACATGAAACCGTTCATCCCTATGCTTTAGGGATTATAGTGACTGAAAAAATGAAAGATGGGACACCTCAGAGTGGATGTCAGGATCCAGATCTGAACCTGGGACCTCTGCGGTGTCTGGCTGTAGCTCTTCACCTGAGATTCTTGACAGCTCCCTTATATGATTCCTTGGATGACCTTACTCTGTATCTGGTTTCTGCTGAACCTTAAACTATTTGTTCCTCCCATGAACTTTCTGATTTAAGCCATGTCTCTTCATTTCCTATTTGCTCTCTCCATCCGATATCTTGCTCCTCTGCATACCTGCTGCCCTCTAAATCTTCGCTACCACTCATTATCTACTCTTGGCTTGTTCATGGACTACGCCTCACCTGATCCCATCAAGCTACTCCTTGTTACTGACCTTTTGGCTTGTTCATCGACTATGCTTCTGCTTCATCAGCTGCCCGACCCCCACTTGCTCTCTTCCTGCTGGGTCAATCCACAAGGCTATGACCTGGCATCATTTTGGAGTGAAACCCATCTCCACCATCAGGAGCTCTGGTGAAGACCAGCTAGTGGTGAGACCTTGTGCCTTGGGTGAGTCCGTGTCATCTGCAAGGGGGATCTGCTTGTGCACCTGCATGAACCTCTCTACTGCTACAGCCACTGACCTCCGAGCCTGATCCCAGACTGTGGCAGTGGATATGAAGAGAGGCAGGAATTGTAGCAGACAGATCTCATCACTGGAGTCTTCAAGAAATCTCTGTCAAGTCATTGGCAGGCAATTCAACATACCAGACTGTAAATTAAATAACACTTTCGTAGGAATGCATAGCTATACAAATCATTTTTTAACATACAGTTGTTCTGCGGACTGAACAAAACCACCCGGTTAATGTCAACATATATTTATTAACAATATAGTCATATGTGCGTAAACTGATGCTTAACTAGATGTTCCTTACGCATAAAACATTTCCCGCACTCTGAACATGGAAAAGGCCGCTCTCCATTGTGACTTTCCAGGTGTCTATTAAGGCTTCCTCTCCAGGTGAAACTCTTCCCACACTTTAAACAGCAAAAAGGATGCTCGCCCGTGTGGCTCCTCTGGTGTGCAAGCAGTTTGGCCTTCACGGTGAAACATTTGCCGCACTCTGAACAAGAGAAGGGCCACTCGCCTTTGTGACTCCTCTGGTGTATAGTAAGGCTTCCTTTCCGGGTGAAAGATGTCCCGCACTCTGAGCAAGAAAATGGACGTTCGCCCGTGTGAATTTTTAGATGTTGCAGAAGTGCGTTTTTCCTAGTGAAACAATTCCCGCAGGCAGAACAGGAATAAGGGCGCTCACCCGTGTGCATTCTCTGGTGTGATAGAAGTCCTTTTTTCTCAGTGAAACATTTCCCACACTCTGAACACGAATAAGGATTTTCACTCTTGTGAGTTTTCTGGTGTATAAGAAGTTCTTTTTCATCAGTGAAAGATTTCCCACACTCTGAGCATGAAAAAGACACGCTGGTGTGAGATCTGAGATGCACAAGAAGTTCGGATTTCATCCTGAAAGACTGCCCACACCCCAAACATGAGTATGGATTCTCCTCTATGGGAATCCCTTCATATCTTAATGAGGATTCCTTGGGATTGTATGGATCTGTTGCTTTATCCACACTGGGAGAACAGAGAGCGATGTCTGTATTCAGTGTATGTGATTGATCAGGAGATTTTTCATGATAAGAGGGATCCATTGGTGTCTCTAAACAGTAGGAGAGGTGATGTATATTTTTAGTGATGGAATTTCCTTCTGCAGAAGATTGTAATATGCTATTTGCTTCACACTTAAAATCTGCAGGTAATATAAAATGCCCCTCTGAGATATATTGTCCATCTGGTGAAAATAAATTTTTAATAAAATGTTAAAAGTATCTTTAACTGAGTGATACAAGTTGGTCAAACAGTTGATAGTTTCACAGAGCTCTGGCCAAATTATAACACAAATCAGATGAGGAATGGAGATGGACCTTCCATATGGTGTCCAGTATCTCCTCCTCATTTGTTGGGAACATGATGTTCTATTGAGGAATGGAGATGGACCTTTCATATGGTGTCCAGTATCTCCTTCTCATTTGTTGGGAACATGACGTTATATTGAGGAATGGAGATGGACCTTTCATATGGTGTACAGTATCTCCTCCTCATTTGTTGGGAATGTGATGTTAAATTGAGGAACGGAGATGGACCTTTTCATATGGTGTCCAGTATCTCCTCATTTATTGGGAACATGACGTTATATTGAGGGACGGAGATGGACCTTTCATATGGTGTCCAGTATCTCCTCATTTGTTGGGAACATGACGGTATATTGAGGAATGGAGATGGACCTTTCATATGGTGTCCAGTATCTCCTCATTTGTCAGGAACATGGCGTTATGTTGAGGAATGGAGATGGACCTTTCACATGGTGTCCAGTATCGCCTCTTCATTTGTTGGGAACATGAGGTTATATTGAGGAATGGAGATGGACCTTTCATATGGTGTACAGTATCTCCTCCTCATTTGTTGGGAACATGACGTTGTATTGAGGAATAGAGATGGACCTTTCATATGTTGTCCAGTATTTCCTCCTCATTTGTTGGGAACATGATGTTATATTGAGGAATGGAGATAGACCTTTCATATGGTGTACAGTATCTCCTCCTCATTTGATGGGAACATGACAATATATTGAGGAATGGAGATGGACCTTTCATATGGTGTCCAGTATCTCCTCCTCATTTGTTGGGAACATGATATTATATTAAGGAATAGAGATGGACTTTTCATATGGTGTACAGTATCTCCTGCTCATTTGGTAGGAGATGTTATATTGAGTAATAGAGATCATACAGCAGAAGATATAATTTGCCATCACTACAGTCATTATCATCTGCAGATTAACCTTTTACAAGAGCTGCAAATGCCGTCCATATGAAGTGGCTATAAAGAACATAAGTTTTCATAGACCGATGATACATACTGTGCATCGAGTCTGTACTCTATTTTTTGTCTCAAAAATCATGCACTATAATTTTTATTTATGGATAACACATGCCTGGTCTCCCTCTGAAATTGCACCCTGGTCAACAGGCTTATATACTGTGCATTAAATCTGTACTCTGGCTTTTATAGAAATTCAATAGGATTCTCTATTTAAGATTCTCTATTTATCCTTTTTTTCTGGTTGACTTCAGATTTGAGGATTTCCTAACCACTATATATTCCATCCCAGATTCTAGACTGCATCATTGACTATGAGGACAATTTAGGGTACAAAAATTTGTTTCCGTTTCACAGGTACACATAAGTCTTTACATTCTGGGTATCTACAGTATTTACTCGACACAACTTCATGGTCTTTTTATACCACATAAATGAGTATTATATTGAATTTGTGTGTACTAAATTTTGTGTATTTTTACTAATACATAAGCATTTGATAAACTAAAATAAATGCAATATAAAAGATTCAACCACCAATATTATATTAAAATATATGTTTGGGGGTTTAATTACTCTTCAGACCAAAAATGTGTATTTAACACATGTAAAAAAAAAATAAAGGTAGTGCAATAAAAATATGAAGATTGTTACTTACTTGTGTCCTCCTGTTTATTTTTCATAATCATCTCCCCCTCCTCCATAGACTGCTGATCTCCACTCACCAACGTCTCTTCCTCTTCCTCTTTAACCTCAACTTTGATGTCTTTCAGTTCTTCACCCTAAACCACGAAGATGACAGAATATAACATCTGGAAAATGTTACTGCAAGCAACAAGAGATTACATAGGCAAATGTCATCACACAGTTTTGAGTTCTGTCACTTAGTTCCATGTACCTGATCATGGTTTGTATACTTGTAATATTCCTGTGTGGAATCCCGGCAATACAGAGGACTGCCCTTCTCCATAGACTGCTGATCTCCACTCACCGACGTCTCTTCTTCTTTTACTTCAACTTTGAGGTCTTTCAGTTCTTCCCCCTAAACCCCAAAGATGACAGAATACAATTAAGGACAGCGATAGGTCTTAAATATAAATATATGATTAGGCACCAAGGTTTGACCTTTATGGACACAGTCCACTTGCCAAATTTGCTGTTAAGGGCTATTTATTGACAAGAAAGTGTTTCTTACAGCAGGATTCCCATACTGGTGTCTAAGCATCATCCAGCACTCAATGTCCTGCTTATTAATCAGCCTGACTCGGGCTACACTGGATCTTAGCCAATTAACATATAGTCTCTCATTCCAGAACATGAAGGTGTCCACACGCTTGTCCTGCATTAACTGTATCTCCAGGTGATGGCCTGGTCAGTGCAGACAGGTACGTGTCCCTAGTGTGTCCATGCACCAGCTACACCCTAGCAGCAAAATGGTCTCCTTAGGAGGGTGGAGCCCTGAACTTCAGTCAGTTTTAATATATTAAGGCCTGTGCAAGATGCATAATCAGCAGGTGCTGGTCACCATCAAGGCATAAACCCAGGGTTGGAGGCTTCATCCCACCCAATACTCTACAAAGCCTCTTGGCTCCAGAACCCATTCCAGGAGTTGTCAGTTCTGGATAAACTGAAAGGTCAACAAGACACACATCCTGGAGCACCTCAACCTGCATAGGTGAGAAATTGGGTGCCACTAAACCCTTATCAAACCATGACACCATGCAGCCCTTTTACAATATATATATATATAAAACTTAATGCTTCTCTCATAGTTATCAATGGACAATTGTAATCCTAAAGCTATGTATGTTTTTTGCTAAAAGCGGAAGACTACTTTTGATACATTTAAAAAAAAAATACATTAGACTGATATGCAAAAGACCCTCCCTCAGACCTTTCCATGAGTCAGAATAGTCCTGTTCCTGGCTATGAGACATGTCCAGGCAGCAATGGGTAGAATAATGAATAAGTAGCTCCTCTCTACGTGGAGTACAGGGGGGAAGAGGAGGAACAAGGAGCAAGTAGCTGCTTATGATCCTTTTCAAATACTACCTGATGATGGTCAGGGGTGGTGTGATCCTCCTGTGTGGAGTCCCGGGAATACAGAAGACAGGGACATCTCTCTGGTGGGTTCCCATTACTGGATCCATCTACCTGATGATGGTGGGGGATGGTGTGATCCTCCTGTGTGGAATCCCAGGAAAACAGAGGACGGGGACATCTCTCTGGTGGGTTTGTGTCACTGAATGGCTCCCTCTTGATATCCTTGAAGGGATCTCTGTGTCTTTTCTGAAAACTCCATCACATCAACCTCATTTTTTTCCTCCTCTTTTATCTCTCCTTTATCTTTACTTGAGATGTTGTGATGTTCCTTTGGGGTATCCCAGGAATACAGAGGACGGGGACATCTCTCTGGTGGGTTCCCATGACTGGATCCATCTGTAGGAAACACACACACTGACTGAATCCATTGTTTCTATGTGTTTATCAGATGATGGGGGATCTAGGTGGACCCTCTGTACTGCTCTCTCCTTTCCAATAAAGTCTCCTCTTACCCGGTGATGTGAGGGGCGGCTGATTGTCCATCATGACGTCCTTGTAGAGATCCTTGTGTCCTTCTAAATACTCCCACTCCTCCATGGAGAAATAGACAGTGACATCCTGACACCTTATAGGAACCTGACACACACAATGATACAGTCACCATCCAGACACATCCCTTGTCTGTTACTGGAGAATGTCCCAGAATTCCCGGCACCGCTCACCTCTCCTGTCAGCAGATCAAAGATCTTCTGGGTTACTTCTAGAATCTTCTTGGCACTGGTTCCCTCTGTTGTCAGGCAGTGAGGTGGAGGCACTGTGATGGGTGATGTCCCTTTAAGACAACTGCTGGTTGGTAATTGCTCACCAGATATTTTGTTCACAACTTTATAATTCTGTATATAGAGAGAAGGTTACAATCACTACAAACTACCCAGAATTCATCTGATCTATTCATTTTTGTTTGTGTTTAGATCTAAGTGTTTTAGTTTTGGATACAGTGGGGAAGGACTATCACCTCTGCCAGGTTTTTTTTCTTTTGATGTCCCTATTTGAGCTGGTGACTGTTGAAGCCAGGACTTAGAGTGAAAATCCTAACGTTTGCAAGAATAGAGGGAAAATCTTTGTATTGGGACCAGGGTGGATAAAAATCAATGATTTTTTAAAAAAATCAAAAAAATCTGATTTTTTTTATTTAAATCAGATTTTTTTAAATTTAAATCGGATTTTTTTAAATTAAATAAAATGCTTTTTGAGGAAAATATATTACCACCCAAAGGTTATTCCATCATGAAATAAAGATTAGTTTTTTAATTATGTAGAATAAGGCAGTATATGTTTAATTTTTTTTGTAAATAAATTCCATTAATCCATTCACAATGTCATGCTCTTCCAGAGGTTTTTGTAAGATTATTGGGCAGTTTCTCTGCCTACAAGATATTATCACAGATGCTTGGTTTACTTTTGCAGTTCTCAAAACTGAATTTGACTCAGCGGAGATCACATGCCTCTTCTTCACAGCAAAAATGTTATAACATGAACAGAGTTAAGAAAAAGACCTTAATTCTAACTTCTACAAACCTATGAATACAGAATCAACCCCTTCAGTGCTAAATTTCAAGAAGTTCAGTGAATAGAATAGAAACAATATTTTTTCCGATTGTTTGGAGTGGAATAGATCTGCACAAGAAGAAAGTGAAACTAAGTGTGAGGAGGAAGGGGCTGACAGTCTAAGTTTCTTAAAATATATATATTTTGTTTAGCCAAATTAGTTAACAAACATGGATGTTTGTTTAAGCAAATAACATATGCTGTAATGTTATTGTTTCAGTTGAATAAATCTATTTAAATTATTTATTAAGGTAATGATTATTTTTCTCCTTCCTAAGTACAACAGAAAAGTTGTCCAAATATGAATGATTAACCTATTAAACTGGGGATAAAAAAACTAATATGAAAAGTTGTTATTCTAAAAATCTTCATCTACTTGCATATTAAAGTTATACCAGCAAGAATTAGTCTATGTAGAAAACTATGATTTAAATCAAGCCTTACTGACTAGTGATTTAAATCGTGATTTAAATCAGTTTGATTTAAATCAAAACCACCCTGATTGGGACACGGTGTTCAGCTATGGAAACGTTCTTGAAACAAGCAATGGCAAGAAGAATACGGGGGGGGGGGGGGGGGGGGATTAGGCTTTGCATTTTGCTTGACTGTGGATAGTGTTCAATTTTTAATCATCCATCTCCTTCAAAGCTGTTGTTGGATGAGAGGGGGCAGTTTGGACCTCATAGCTATGGTTACAAAATCCACTTAGAAACATGGGACTAAGTACTACATACCGATGGAGGGATGGGCTGACACTGCTGGTCAGGGAATAAGGTGAACAGCGGGGAAATATTTATGAGCACATGCGTGGGATGAATTGGTGGTGAAGAGATGTGTTGTTAGACAAGGGTGAAGCAGCTGGGGAAAGAAGTGTTTCTGAATTGGGGGAAAGGTTGTCATAGAGGGATGATTTATGAGCAGGGTCAGGGGCTTAGAGCAGGGGCGGACTGACCATTTGGAAAATCGGGCACTGCCCAAGGGCCCGGGGTCAGTAGGGGGCCCCATGAGATGCCCCTGGTACCTTTTTCATAGGTATTTTGAGTTTGGGCAAGGACACAGGGGCCCATGATCCCCTATTGCCCAGGGGCCCCATGAGTTGTCAGTTCGCCCCTGGGTTAGAGTAGCCTTTTTTCAACAAGGGTGCCCAGGCACCCTAGGTTGCTTTGAGGTTTCTTCAGGGGTGCCTTGGCAGTATGTCTAAAAATTGGCCAAAATTTGTATACAAGCCAACAGGTGGAACAAGCCCGCTAAGCCACAGGCTTTCATTGTGCACCATTACGACCTTCTAGCTGTCAGCATCCTAATAACCAATGACATGATCAGTTGATAAGGAGGATGTTGGTTGCCTGCACAGCATCCTTATTTGACCCTCTGCTGCCTCTCTTCATCAGAGCTTTTTAGAATGGGGTGCCTCGAGACTGTCCATAATTTTATAAGCAGTCTTGACTGAAAAATGCTTGCGAAACACTGGGATAGAGGGATGATCTGTGACTGGTGAAGGATGCATTGTTAATGATAGAGGTGGATGAGAGGGACCTGATCCTGGCCTGCTTACTGATCTCAGTCCTCATCTCGTGTATTTGAGTAATGAGACTCACCATTGCTTGGATGGTTACAGCACCTGGCACCACCCCCCTACCAGATTCAGAAATCTCTGTCCCAGACTTTCAGAAGCACTCTTTGGTGGTCATGTAACATTTCACATCCCCGGTATAGGAAGTCTGGGATAGAAGACCTACCTACATCTGCCAGCCAGGAGCTGTGATCTTCCGAGGTCTGAGAGACCTGGAGTGATGGCCAAGAGGGAGAATATTTTCTGTTCTGGAGGTGGTGGCAGAAATCGAACCAAGATCCAGCAATACATGTGCCTGTGTCTTTATTTCTGTCTGGGATAGAAGACCTACCTACATCTGCCAGCCAGGAACTGTGATCTTCCGAGGTCTGAGGGACCTGTAGTGATGGCCAAGATTGGCCAAGAATATTTTCTGTGCTGGAGGTGGTGGCAGAAATCAAACCAAGATCCAGTAATACATGTGCTTGTGTCTTTATTTCTGTCTGAGGCTTCCATTTAGTAACAATACAAAGTATATAAGTGAAGGTAACAGCATCTGCCGGAGATAAAAGACGTCACAGTGTCTATGAAGGAAGAGAACAGACATGACGACGGAGGAGGAGGACGGACATGACGGGGGGTTACTGGGTGTAAATATAAAATAATATCTTATTACCTCCTCTGCTGCCAGTTCTAGAAATGTCTCCTCTCTACTTCCTCCCGACTCACATCTCACCCCGGAACTTCCTGTCTGCACCTGACATCACTTCCTGTCTGTGTGGTCCTTTCGCAAGCGAGTTGACTATCTAGTTGTGGTTTTAATAACTGCGCCCTACTTTATGTCTCATTTTTTTTCTCTGTGCTGGCTCCTACACCTGTATTGCTTGGTGTATTATTGTAAAAAAAAATCTGAAAAACAATCATTGGATCTTTTTGAAACCCCAGATCCATAACCCCATACACCTGTGTAAGATGTTGCTCCGTCTTCCTGTATGACCCCATATAACTGTGTGTGACATGACACCCTTAACCCCATACACAGGGGTTTGACAAAAAAATGGAAACACTGCATGAGTTGCATGTGTGAAAGTGACAAAATGTTTGGCGGTGAAAGCGGAAGTGATGTAACATTCTTTTGCTTCCGCTGTGTGATGAGACAGTTGGTAAGCCTCACTTTCATCATTCGCTGCGTGCACTGCTAGTAATACAGAGTCATGTTAGAGTGTACTGAGCTTCAAAGAAGGCAAATTGTTGGTGCGGCTTAGGCCGGCCATAAATGGGTCGAATTCCGACCGAGTTTTCGTCCAAGAATAATCGGCCGATTTTCGCTCTGTTAGTGGGGTCAATGGCACCGGCCGATTTTCGTGGTTCCTCCCCTTTTCGGTGATCAGGCATGTTGGAAAATTCATGAAAAACTACCGATTTTCGACTCAAAGATGGTCAAATCATATGATCGTTTTGCCGAAAAGAATATGCGCATGAGCCGTGACCTGGAAGGAGCAGACGTTTCGCCTGTTATATGGGGTGAACCATCGGATTACCGAGCGAATGACATTTCTGATTTTCGGACAAAAAAATTGTTTGGAATTCGACCCATGTATGGCCTGCATTAGTTGGTGCCTCTGTGACTGAAGTTATTATTATTATACATGATTTATGGCGCCAACAGTTTGCTCAGCGCTTTACAAAAGAAAGGGACACAATACAGCAACAATACAGTTCAATACAAGAGGGTTAGGAGGGCCCTGATCCTTGGAGCTTACAATCTAGAAGGGAGGGGCTGGTGGTACAAAAGGTAATAACTGTGGGGGATGGACTGGTAGGAGGAATAGAAGATTCCATTATTAGCTGAGGGCAGGATAGGCTTCCCTGAAAATATACCTGTGTATGAAATGACAACATCTTCCCGTATACCTTTGTATGGTATAAAGCCGTCTTCCCTTATAACCAC